CCAAAGCCAATGTCCTTGGACAAGTCACCAGCTCCACGAGCGGGTTTTGCCACCCGTACGGAGCTGGTTGATGAATGCAGCAGGGATTCCTGCTTGCAGGGCTGGCTGTGCTTCCTTCTTCCCTTCTTGGATCTCCTGGGGATCCCACCGCCCTCCTCGCACATCCCGCACCCTCTCTGCGACTGGCCCGGCGCTGCTCGTGCTCCCCTTGCAGGCAGCCTCCCCAGTTGCTCCTGCTCTTGGCAATCTCCTTCCTTTCCCCTTGCAGACCTGTCCCCAGGCTGCCCAGCCCCGTGCAGGTGGACACCACATGCCATTGCTCCCGTTTGAGGAGGGATCACATCCCTCCCCAGCCTTTGGACCGTGTCTTCTACCAGCTGTGCTTGGAAAGACACAGGAGATTCATTTCCGCGCTCTTCGCCATAAATCGCTGTTAGCCCCGGAGGATTTCCCGTTACCTGGAGGAAGGGGGCCTACATCGGGGACAATTAGGATCTCTTTCCTCTTGTATATGACTTTTTTCAGCTTCCTGGCCTGCTGCAGGATCCGGTCTTTCATCCTAACGTTGGCTACGTGGACAATCACACTCCTGCACTGCTCCAAGCCTCGTCTCTGCCTCCCGTTTCCCACCCGGAAGGCCTTTTCCACTAGGACAGGCTCCTCCGTCATATCGAGGTGCAAGATCTGGGGCAACCACTTCTCCAGGAAGCCCACGAGATCCTCGCCCTCCTCCCCCTCTGCCAAGCCGAGGATCCTGAGGCTGGAGGCTGGGGCCGGTCTCTCCAGTTGCTCTATGCGGGCAGCCAGACGGTGGTTTTCATGCACAAGGTGCTCCAGGACCTGCACAGATTTTTGAATATCCCCCTCGTGCTTCTGGATCAGAAAGTCCATCTGCGCCGCTGACTTGTCCAAGCTGGTAAGCAGACCTTCTAGCGAGTACATGCGAACGCTCAGAGCTGTGAGTTTGTTGTCCAAGGCACGAATGAATTCCAGGTTCTGGTCCGTTTTCTTCATGATGTCTTGCAAGAGCCCCCTCAAAGAGGGGAAGCTGCCCTTGCCGCTGCTGGGCAGGCTCAGGTGACCACGGCCTCCATGTTGCGATGGAGACGGGAAGATCCAGGGGGCATCTCCTTGGGTTTGGGGGGAAGCATCTCCCGGGGCTCTGGGCGCGCTGCCTTTGCTGCTTGGCATCTTCATGGCTTCTTGCCGTGCGTTGCCATCCCTAGACTCCTCCTCTGCACACCCTTGGCTCCGATCCGTGTCCCTGGAGTCCTGCTCGTGGGAGGTTTTACGCTGCTCTCGGCCCACCCATCACCACGGAGCTCCCCAGCACCTCGGGGTGCTCGGCCATCCATCCCGACCTCATAATGCTGTGGAAGCACCCAGGAGGGCTGTGGTGGGAACGGCACCTTCTGCGAGTCCTTGGCCAAGGGCATTGCTCCGAGGACACCCCGTGATCCTGGCCCTGGATGGGCACGCGATGGAGCAGGACCTGCTCCTGCATCCGGCCTCGCTGCGTCCTCCAGCGACCCTGGGCAGCATCTGCTCACGGTGGAGCCCCCCAGGGCAAGAAGCACCAGGAGCACCATGGCCGGGGGCCGAATCAAGCATCTTCACGCTTGAACTTGCATTTGCTCTGGCTTGCACCAAGCTCAAATGAGACGGGCTCTCCTCCCAGGACTGTGGCCAGGAGAGGCCCTTGGAGCTTGTCCCAGCACCGGGATGGAGGCGTCACAGCTGCCAGCGTGAGAAAGCCCAAGGCGCAGCCCCGCGGCGGCTCTGGCATCGCGGTGCCGGGGGCTGCTCCCCGCTGGGAATTCCAGGCTTTGAACCAGGCTGCATCCCTCGCCAAGAATGGAAAATTCCTTTTTTTTTTTTCCTGCTAAGATCTGCAGCTGGGATTATCCTTGTCAACTGGGTGGCATCAGAGCAGGAGCCAGGATCCATCGTGACCCTCTTGGCATTTCAATCCCTGCGCTGCCTCCCGTTCCCTCCGGCATTGCTCCCGTTCCCACCTCCTTCCCACCGGGATCCACCCGGCCCCGTGCCCTGCCCGCCGCTCCGCTCCCGCCAGCTCTTTCCAATCTCCTTAACAGCCCGGTGCCAGCAGGGCCGGGACTTTCTGGTTTCTCATGTCCCTTTCAGCTGCTGCAAGATGCACCCAGCCATCCTGGAGGAAGAGTGTCCTGCTGGGCAGAGCGCCAGGAATGGGGCACCCGACCTGTAGGGCCTTCCCCAAGGAGGGCTTTGATCCTTTAGGATTCGGCAGCCCAATCGGCCATGAAAAAGGAATAATCAGGGACTCCCCATTTCTAATGCCAGCTCTGGAAGAAGCATGGTTGGTGCTTACCTTCAATCTGCTCTGCTGTGAATTCGACCTGTCGGGACAAGAGAAGAGATCTGGGCATGAGGAGCGCGTCGCTGTGCAGGAGGTGCCACCGTGGATGATGCCGCGACACCAACCGCCTCCTCCATGCTCCAAATGCCTCTCCCGAGGCTCTAGCAGCCTCTTCAAGGCCGGCATCCGTGTCCCCATCCATACCGCTCCGTGTCCCCATCCATACCGCTCCGTGTCCCCATCCATGCCGCGCCGCGTCCATCCGCACCGGGAAGGCTCCTTCCCGGGGAGCGCGCAGCCGGCGGGAACACAGCCCTGCAGCGCTGCGGTGGAAACCGGGATGCTCTGACCGGAGTTTGGGCTATTCCGGGTGCAAAGGATTTCCAAGGCACGATCCCTAGAGCAGGGCTCAAGTGGGCTTGAACAGCCTCTGTGCTGAGCCCTGCTGTTAATAACCCTCCTGCCACCGCTCTGGCTTAAAAACCTAACTATATCCTGGGACAGAAAATTGGAGTTATTGCAGGGATTATTGCAAATTGCATTTAATTGCAAGACAAAGGCCGCCTGCAAAAGCTGCAGGAGGCGGCTCAAGGTTGAGCAGTCAGTGGGGTCGGGGCTGCTCGTGGAGGCAGCCTGGGAGATGAGCGAAACGCGCCCGGACGCTTCATCCCCCGCGGCTGCTCCGGCTCCAAGCGGGATTCAGGAGCCAGCAGAGACTCAGGGACAGCAGTTTCCTTGGATCGGTGCCATGCAGGCTCCGATGGGAGGACATTAACACAAGGGAATGTCACATCCCGCTCGCCGCATCAGCGCGCTCTGAGCTGTCCCCTCGCAGTGCCCGTGACGGCAATCCCTGCGGAATGGAGCAGGGCATTGGCAGCGCTGGGCACATTGCATGGAAAAGCGCAGGACAATCCCTCACCTTCACGCTCCTGATGTCGAAGACCGGCTCTTTGGGCGGCTCCGGAGCCGCTTTGGCCACTTCCTTCTTCAAGTCGGGTTTCTTGGGGGGCATCGCACTGGCTCTTCACGAAGGAGCAGGGGCTGCGCGGGGCAGGAGGGACAAAGGCAA